AGTTATAATTTGCTCCAATATACCTTCAGCCCCTCTCTCTCTTTCTTCTTCTTCTGGGATCCCAATTATTCCAATATTGTTTTGCTTTATGGTATCACTTATCTCTCAAATTTTCCCCCTCGTGATCCAGTAGTTGTTTCTCTCTCTTTTTCTCAGCTTCTTTATTCTCCATCATTTTGTCTTCTATATCTCTAAATTTATTCTAGCAGTTAGAGCCTCCACTATTTATTGCAGCTCATTAATAGGCTTTTTTATTCTACTTGATTAGATGTTAGTTCTTTTATTTCTCCAGAAAGGGATTCTCTAGTGTCTTCTATGCTTTTTTCAAGCCCAGCTAGTATCTTATAATTCTTATTCTGAACTCTAGTTCTGACATCTTATTTATATCCATACTGATTAGGTCATTGGCAGTCAGTACTGCCTCTTGTTCTCTTTTTTGAGGTGAGTTTTTCCATCTTGTCATTCTGTCCAGAGAAGAATAGATGAACAAGAGAACAAAATACTAAAATGGCAACAAGGACCCCAGAGAAATATACACAAATCAAATCAGAAGAGACCTGAAACCAATAAATAAATATATAATATAATATAATCAGACAGGTGAACAGAACAGAGCAATACACAGGATCCTGTGTGTATTCTGGTCTGTTTATTAGGAAACTAGATCCCAAAAATGTGAAGAAAAACTTACATATGTACAAAAATAAAATTGAATACAATGGAAGGATAGGAGGTAACTGGAAAAATGAAAATTAAAAGACGAAAAGAAAATAAGAAGGAATTAGACAGGTGAACAGAACAGAGCAATACACTATACCCTGAGTATTCTGGTAGGTTTGTTAGAAGAAAGTACATCTCAAAATTGTAAAGAAAGAAAAACATGTAGAAAAATAAAATTAAAGACAATGAAAGGATAGAATGTAACTGTAAAGATGAAAATTTAAAGACTTTAATTAAAAAAAGAAGAAGAAAGGGCGCCTGGGTGGCTCAGTTGGTTAAGCGACTGCCTTCGGCTCAGGTCATGATCCTGGAGTCCCTGGATCAAGTCCCGCATCGGGCTCCCTGCTCGGCAGGGAGTCTGCTTTGCCCTCTGACCCTATCCCCTCTCATGTGTTCTCTCTCATTCTCTCTCTCTCAAATAAATAAATAAAATCTTTAAAAAAAAAAAGAGAGAGAGAGAATATGATCAGACAGGTGAAGAGAACAGAGCCATACACTAGATTGTGGGTGTATTTTGGTTTGTTTGTTAGAAGAAATTGCATCCCAAAATTGTAAAGAAAGAAAAACGTGTGTGTGTGTGTGTATATATATATATATATATATACAAAACTAAAATTAAATACAATGAAAGGATAGAATGTAACTGTAAAATTGAAAATTAAAAAAGATTTTTAAAAAGATAAAATAAGAAATTGGTTGAAAAAGGAAAGAGAAAAAAATTAAAATTGAACAACTGAAGAATCATGAGGAGAAAGCCATGAATTCTATATATTATTTTCACATAGCACTGGAGTTTTGCAGTTCTCTGTGGTCAGTAAACTTGGTCTTAGCAGGATGTTCTTGCTGATCTGCGGAAGGGGCCTGTTGCACTGATTCTCAAGTGTATTTGCCCTGGGCATAACTGCATTGCTCTTGCCAGGGGCCAGGCTAAGTAAGATGCTCCTGATTGCTATATGTGGCTTTTGTTCCCTGAAGGCTTTCTGCACCACTTTAGAGGATAAGAATGAAAATGGTGGCCTCCCACTCTCCAGCCCCAGAGCTGAAAGCTTGGGGCCCCACTCCTCCTCAATGCACTCTCGGGGAAAAGCAGTCAATCACTCCTGTCTCCATCCACACTCCATGCTCACCCAGCCTGTGACCGAGCATTTCTATCTCAGGCACGTGACCCTGTTTTGTGTCTCCAAACCTTGCAAACTCCTGCAGCATGCACTGGCCCTGTTCCCCCCAGGGGAGGAAGAGGGGTCTGGCCATGGTTCTGCAGTTTCCTGGGCCCCTGCTTAGGGAAGGGTCAACCTACCCTACCATGGTTCACGGTATATGGCAACCCCAAGCTGAGAGCCCACTCCTGGGCTCACTGATTGCAGCTGGCTTCCCCACTCTGATGCCTGGGACCTCTGCCGCACTCAGGCACCCCCAGTCTTCCTGTGCCCCAAGGATCCTGAGACCACACTGTCCCATCTAGGATTCCACCCTGCTTCACCACCTGGGCACCGCTCAGGCGCAGGGATGTCCCTCACTGGAGCAGACTTCTAAAAGTTCTGGTTTGTGCTCCATTGCTATATCACTTGCAGATAGCCAGCTTACGGAGGCTCCCTCCTCCCATGGTTTCTTCCCATATATTACCTCAGATTCACTTCTCCACACCACCTACCTTGCAGAAAGTGGTTGCTTTTCTATTTGTAGAGTTGCTACTATTCTTTTCTTAGATCTCTGGTTGAGTTTGCAGGTGTTCAGAATGATCTGATAGCTATCTAGTTGAATTCCTGAGACCAGACTTAACTAACGTCTCCTACTCCTCTATCATCTTGGACTATCCCTCTCTTATCTACATTGTGTCTTTTAAAAATTATTATTACAAAAGCAGCATATGTGCATTGTAGAAAATTAGAAAAACAGAATTAAATCAATCCTTCATCACCAGAGACCACCACTACTAATTATCTTAATTTTATATCTCCAGGTCTTTACACACACACACACACACACACTCACACACTCACACACATCCCTTTGCAGTTTCACTTCAGTACCTCAGTATAAAATCATATTGTACATATTTTTCCTCAGCCTACTTTTTTAAGTAAATGATTTCTACTTTCTCTTTCAGTACATTTTATCTCCTCTGATATTGAGAGTATTTTCAAAATTCCCCATTTAGTCCCCAAATATTGCACACAGGTGGTTTGTCCATTCAAATATCAAATGTAGGATCATTTGTCTCTGGTTTCTATGTCCCTTAATTTCTCATAATCAACCACAATGTCTTTTTCACAATAGTAACTTTTTAAAGAATCCAGCCCATTTACCTCCCACAGAATATCCCTGAATTTGTCTAATTTCATTGCTATGCTCTCATTTAACTTGTTTGTCTATATTCTACATTTCTTGTAAATTGCACATCATATTAGAGCCTTAATAAATCCAATTTAAATATTGTTGCCTAGAATAATTCATAGGTGATGGTGTGTAACTTCATGTGGCATTATATCAAAAGGCACATATTATTTGATTAACAACCAATAGTGATGCTACAATTGATTGATTCTTATACTAAGTTACTTTGTTTTCCCCTCCACTGAACAGATAAGTTTTCCCCTTGCTATTAAAAAATAACAATAGAGATTTTCTTTTAGCAATTAACCAAGTTTCCCATTAACCACTTACTTAATGATTTTTGACACCAATTAATAATCCTTCCCTTAATCTATAATATCATTCGGGTCTGTGAAATTATTCTTTCCTAATTCTGTATTTTCTTCTATATATTTTCTTTCTTTTTATAACTGGAATTTTTCTGTAAAACAGTCCATTTCCTTAAAAATTGGGATATTTGGTTACCTTCTCTGTGAGGATATAAGGAAGAGAATTCCCAGACACCTGGTGGGAATATTTGTACCATATTTTTGGAATACAATTTGGCATTATCTAGCCAAGTTGAAGATACACATAATCTCTGACCTAGCATTTCCATTTTAGGTATAGCATTTCCCACTTGAGGTATTCTCCACTTAAAATCAGAAATCTGTTTTTATAAATTAGACATTTAAAAAATAAATGCTAATTTAGAGTCTACTTATCAATATTTTAAATAAGAAAACATAACATTTTATATGTCAACTCAGAACCTCAACCAATTTCCTAAAACATAACTAATTCACAGTAAACACCTATACATATGTGACAAGCTGTCATGTTAAGATGTAAAATGACTGAAATGTTCATTAAATGATTAATATGCTCATTTCAAACAATTGCTTTGTATACAGCAACATGCTGTATTAGTCTGGGTTCTCTAAAGAAACACAATCAACTGGATATATGTATGACTTACGATTCATTGTAAGAAGTTGGCTCACATGATTATGGAGACTGAGAAGTCCTGAGATCTGCTGTCCAGACCCAGGAATATGCTGACAACCCAGGAAAGCCAATGGTATAGTTCTAGTCCAAGCCCAAGTCTGAAGACAGGAGAAGACCAATGTTCCACCTAGAAGATAGGCAGAAAAAGCAAATACTCCTTTACTCAGCCTTTTGTCCTATTGAGACCAGCAGTGAGTTAGATGAGGCTCACCCACATTGTAGAGCACAATCTGTTTAATTCACTCTATTCAAATGTTAATGTCATCCAGAAATATCCTCACAGATGCACAAATAATGTTTAACCAAATATCTGGGCATCCACCTCCAGCCAAGTTGACATGTAAAATTAACCATCACAATGCCCTTTGCTGATTCTGACTGCACCTTTCAAAACATTAACACTTAACAATTCTACTTAAACTATAATTCAAGACTTCCCCCACAACACACAACCCCAACACACACACAGAGTTTTCTTGAAAATGTAGTACTGCATTTGTAGTACTGCATTTTCATGCAAAACATCAGCTGACAAGTGTATTACAAAGATACCTATATTCTAAAGTTTGAATATCAAAACACAAGACGTGTTGCACCGGAGAAATAATAAAGTATGCCAGCACCTACCCTAAAAACATGTAAACATATGCACCAGCATAGGTGTGTAAGAATATTTGCAGGAGTTATTTACAGTAACCAAAAACTGCAAACAACCTGAATGTCCACTTATGGTTGCATAAATGAGTTGTGAAATATTCATACAATGAAACAGTATATCACTGAGAAAATGATATAGCCAAATGCTATAGTATGGATGGCATTGCAAACACAATATTGATCGAAAGAAGAAGGATAAAAATAATTCCAATAGGGCACTTGGAGGCGGCCACCGTGCAGATTGGAGTCCGCTCTCTGGAGTACCTCACTCTGCTTCCTCTGCAATCATGTCTGACAAACCCCAAAAGGCTGAGGTTGAGAAATTTGATAAGTTGAAATTAAAGAAGATAGAAAAGCAAGAGAAAAATCCACTGTCTTCAAAAGAAATGACTGAAGAGGAGAAGCAAGCAGGCAAATCATAACGATGTGTGCACCACCAACATGCACTGTACATTCCACAAGTACTGCCTTCTTATTTTACTTATTCTACTTCTTTTAGCTGTTTAACTTTTAAGATGAAAAGAGGTTGGATCAAGTTTAAATGACTGCTGCCCTTTTCTCATCAAAGAATCAGAACTACCAACAATAAATGCCGAGCCTGCCTCCCATTTGCCTGGCTGGCTGGCAGGGAAGGAAAAGAACTTGCATGTTGGTGAAGGAAGAAGCTGGGGGGTTCGACAGTGAAATCTAGAGTAAAAACCAAGTTGGTCCAAGGTGTCCTGAAAACTGTAAAATGCAGTTTAATCAGAGTGCCATTTTTTTGTTCAAAGATTTTAATTATTGGAATGCACAATTTTTAATATGCAAATTAAAAGTTTAAAATAAGAAAAAAAATTCCAACAGTATGATTCCATTCATATTAAATTCAAAACAGGCAAAATCAGACCATTGTTTAAGGATGTATACATAGGTTGTATAAGCATAAAGAGAAAGGTATGATTATCACAAAGCCAGAACAGTAGATACCTCCAGGGTGGAGGGATAGGATTATAATTGGGGAGGAAGCCGAAAACTAAGTGGGTGTGCTTGGAAGCTGCCAAAGTTCTATTTTTTGACTTGGGTTACACTACCATTTGTTTTATTTTGTTATTGTACATTAAACAGTACAAATATATTTTATAGACCCGTCTATAAATAAATGTATATTTTATAATAAAAAAGGAAAAGAAATGAAAGGAAGAAGTTAGGTTAGGCATTAATGTAGAAGACATGACTGCAGGATGCTGTTGAAGGGCACCGACCTCTTCTTGCTGTATCTGAGCAAATGTCAACACATATATAATTGAACTACAGGAGAAAAAAAGATAACTAAAATAAGTCAGGAGCAAAAGCATTTGCAAAGGAGCTTACATTAGAAAATGCTCAAAAATAGGGGCACCTGGGTGGCTCAGTCTTTAAGCATCTGCCTTTGGCCCAGGTCATGGTCCTGGGGACCTGGGATCGAGCCCCGCATCAGGCTCCCTGCTCAGTAGGAAGCCTGCTTCTTCCTCTCCTGCTCCCACTCCCCACTGCTTGTTCTCTCTCTCTCTCAAATTAATTAATTAATTAGTTAAAATGCTCAAAAATAATACATTTTTTGGACTGGAAACTAATAGATGAAAAATCTTGCATAAGAATAAAAATCTTAGAAAAACAGTGTAGAAGAAGAAAAAAGTGAACACCTTACCGGGGACATAATAGGCATTCATAAAATCATAAAATGTAAAAATGCTGTGAACATGGTTTTGTGCAATAAATCCTGCAATTTTCATAACATGAAGATGCCAATGAACTTCAAAAGAAGTCATTTTCCTTTTTTTAATTTAATTTAATTTTATTATGTTATGTTAGTCACCATACAGTACACCATTAGTTTTTGATGTAGTGTTTCATGATTCATTGTAGAAGTCATTTTCAACAATTAAAAGAAACTGTATTTTACACAGAAGTCAGTAAATTTACAAGTCATTATTATTACATGTCCTTAAATTTTGGTATGTGACAGGAAAAAAAATCAAATAAGCACTTAGAATATTCAGCCTCAAAGTAAGTGTTTCATAATTTCATAACTGTTTACAATTCAACAAATAAAATCCCATAAATGTTTCTCAACAGTTTGACAAGGCTCTGCCACTTGAGGCAAAAGTTCAGAAGCATTCCCCTAGCAACCTGTTATTTCCCGTAGAGTGCTGCCCTCTGCTGGGAACTGTGGCCACATCTGATCCCATAAATGAGTACTTTCCTGTGGTATTCCCATTTCCACTTTTGTTTTCATGAATGAAGTGTATCTATCTTCCCCTTGAAACACTTCATTGAAATTAGTTGTAAACAAACTAAAAATGTGTTGATATGTTTTCAAGTAAACCTAAAATTAACCTATTTTTGTATTTAAAAAGAAAACCATAAAATTGTAAGCTATATGTTATCTATTGAATTGCATTATTCAGAGTATAAGAAGAACTAAAGTTTGAAATATTTCAAAGTAATTTTAAAAACAGGTTCAAGGCTAGATATATGAGCAATAAAAGTGAATTTAAAAATTACATGTTCCTCAATTCTTGGTTTAAATTAGTATTCTATAATTAAGCAGCCATCATTAGAAACAGTTTTCATATTTCAATGATGCTGTTATCACTCAAAACCAGTTTTGAACTACTTGTATAAAACTGTCTTCAAAGTTGTTTTTAAAAGAGACATAAGAAAGTCAGTCTAATTATTTTATAATTACATTGTTTTTACTAAACCATTGCTAAATTTCATTATTAGCATTATTTACAAACTTAATTTTTTTTAAGGATTTTATTTATTTATTCATGAGAGACAGAGAGAGAGAGGCAGAAGGAGAAGCAAGCTCCCAGGGAGCAGGGAGCCCGATGTGGGACTCGATCCCAGGACCCTGGGATCATGACCTGAGCCAAAGGCAGGCGCTTAACCATCTGAGCCACCCAGGCGCCCCCAAACTTAATTTTTAATGTCATTTTTAGTTTAGAGCAGCTATGATTTTTAGAGATAAAGGTTTTCTATCACTGAGCATATTCAAAGGACTATGATGAATGATTTTAAGAAATTCTGAAAGAGGAATAACAATAACTTTTGCCAAAACTATATATATATATATATATATATATATATATATATATATATATATATATATATGAAGGGAAAATAATCACGTATATGTAAATGCCAGGTGTCAGCTTCTGCTTGGAATGTAGAAAATTACAAAAGAATGCCATTCCTATCTTAACAATAACAAGCCAGATAACCAATGAAATCATAGTTTATTAAAAATTCATCAGAGAGTTAAATACGGGGGGAAAATATCTAATGAATAAAATCTAGAAAGTTACAAACCTCTCTACAGTGAAGAGACCCAACAGTTTCTTTCATCCTTGGTGAAGCAGTGGAGAAGGAGAAAGCTGTCAGAGAAATAGTTAAGAAGAAAACTGCTGAACTTCTAAAAAAACTTTTGTGGACCAAGTGTGGGCTGTCATGTTGGTTGAGAATCCTCAGGACATAGAGCATGCCCACCTACCAACATTTTCTCATGGGCCTACAGAGTGGTCATGAGAAATACTGGGGCTAGGCTAAGAATTAAGAGAAACTTTCAAACACTAGGGCTTTACAGTGATACAAGGCAGCAGGCACCTAACTTCAGTGGAAGAGGGGCAGGAATGCTGAGAGAGATCTGCTCCTCCGAGGTACAGTGTATAGGACCTCATGAACACTGAGGGCAGGAAAGGAGAACTGGGACAAGTTCTATAAGTTCTCCCGGCCCAACACTGAGTAAGAGGCAGTAATAACCTATATTTGGAGAGGGGCAGGAAAGCTGAAAGGGACTCTCCTCTGAAGTGTAAGGGGTTTATTGCAGTTTGGAGGCAGCAAAGGAGAAATGAACTGAACTCCTTAGGTACTTGGGGTCTTCAGTGAGTACATGCAGTGACTGATTTGGGCTGGGGTAGAAGCAAGAATGCTGAGACACATCCTTCTGAGATGCAGACAACCAGGATCTGTGGAAGGCAGATGGGCTCATTACCATACCGCATGAATCAGTGAATTTGGATTGAAAATTGAAATTGAAATTACCCAATTTAAAACACAAAGAGAAAACATTTTTAAAAGAAGGGTGATAAGAACATCCAATAACTGTGAAACAATATCAAATAGGCTAACATTTGTGTATCTGGAGTCCCACAACAAAACAACAACAAAAGCAGAGAAGTAATATCAGAAGAGGTAATGAGTGACAATTTTCCAAAATTGATGGAGGATGTCAGCATATGCACCTGAGAAGTTCAGAGAAACCCAAGAAAAGTAAATACAAAGAAAACCACACCTAGGTTTATCATAATCATACTGCTGAAATCTAAAGAAGATAAACCCCAAAATCAGAGGAAGAAAGGAAATATTGCATACAATGAACAATGATGAGAGTGATGGCTGACCTCTTAATAGAAATAAAAATGAAGGGGGTGAGCAATGGAATGGCATCTTAAAGTTCTTAGAGAAAAAAGAAAAACTGTTAATCTAGAATTGTATGTCCAGGAAAAATGTTCTTTAAAAATGAAGTCAAGGGGCGCCTTGGTGACTCAGTCGTTAAGCATCTGCCTTCGGCTCAGGTCATGATCCCAGGGTCCTGGGATCAAGCCCCACATCGGGCTCCTTGCTTAGCGGGAAGCCTGCTTCTCCCTCTCCCACTCCCCCTGCTTGTGTTCCCTCTCTCTGTGTGTCTCTTTCTGTCGAGTAAATAAAAAATAAAAATGAAGTCAAAATAAACACACTTGGAAGTAGGCAAATACTGAAAGGATTCATCTTACCTCCCATAGACCTGCACTGCAAGAAGTATTAAACACTAATGCTCTATGGGGCTTTTTCAGTAATTTTTCTGTGTTTCATTTGCATAGTTTCAATCGCTGTGTCTTCAAGTTCAGTAATCACTTCTGCAATGTCTAATCTATCATGAATCCCACCTATTATATTTTTCATTTCACACGCTGTAGATTTCATCCCTGGAAGTCCAATTTAGGCTTTTTAACAATTTTTTTGTCTTTACTTAACATGCACAATATTTATTCCAGCTTATTGAAATAGGGGGTGTAATTATAGTAATTGTTTACTGTCCTGGTTTACTAATTCTGTCCTCTGTGCCAAATCTGGGTTGGTTTAATAGATTATTTTTCACCTTCATATGGATAATACCTTGCTTCTTTGCATGCTGATAATTTTTTATTGGATGCTAGACATTATGAATTTTATCTTGTTGGATGCTGTATATTTTTGCATTTCTGTAAATATTCTTGAGCTTTATTCTGGAGTGCTGTTAAGTTACTTAGAAACAGTAAGGTCTTGCTTATGAGTGTTGTTAGAAGGAACCAGAGCAGCATTTAGTTTAGGGTTGATTTTGCTACTACTGAGACAAAAAGCACTTCTGAGAACTCTACCC